CCTTTTCTTTCTGGATCATCTTCTTATACAGGTAGTCTGGGTAGGTCCTCATCGGGAAGAAGCAGCCAGATCCCTCGGCACACATGAAGACGCCGTTCTCGTACACCACGCGGCCGTGGCTAATGGTGACCAGTGGCACTCCGTGGCATCGCATGTTCTCGTAGGGGTTGAAATCTCCAGCCTGGACCTGGGTGCTGGCAGAGATGGTCCTGCAGAGAAGATACGAAGAGACAACCTGCAATGAACAGCCTACAGGACCGAAGAAAGCCAAAAATCCAAAGGCAAGAGAAAGACCTGGCAATGCTTTAACCTGAGTACTGTACAAGTGACGAGAGAAGGTCACAAGTCTTCAATCAGTACGACACGACAGCATGTTCATGGATGCAGTGTAGAGGGTTGGAGCTGTCAGACCGCAGGGGAGCCGGGACGCTGCTTTGTGTGTGACTCCCCTACGTGCTGCCAGTATACAGTATATAACCCTTTGCTGCAGACCTCAGTGTTTAACTACCTCCCGGTCGGCCGTTGTGTAAAATCCGGGAGCTTCCTGGATGTAACAGGCCGTGTATACATGCCCTGTTAGTCCCGCCCACTCGTGCGCAGCGCACACGAGCGGGAAAGACACAAAATGTAAAAACCGGCGGATCGCTCGTATGAGGTCCCGGTATGTGCGCCACCCTCAGTGGCTCCCCCCCCTCCCGCTGTTCCCGGTGCGAGCCCGGGACCAGCATAGTGCCTCTGTCACAGGGGATCAGTGGGAGGTCGGTTCACGACCTCCCTCCGGTCCCCTCTCCGGTGTCAGAATGCGGAAGGGATGTATATGACATCACTTCCGCATTCTCGTGTCACTCTCCAGCTTCAGATGCTGGAGAGAAGCTGATGGAGCAGATCTCGGCTTCATCAGGGGGGTCCTAGGTGACATTAGGGTTCTTGTAGACCCTTGATGTCTCCATAAAGAGGACCTGTCACCTCTTTTGCCATCACATAAGGGGGTTTCTCAGCCCCCTCTGTGATAGCAATAAAGTTAAGTGAAAAAAAAAAAATAGAAAAGCAAATTAGTTTCCCCAAATTTTTTTAAAGTTACACATAAAAAAGAATAAAAAAAATATTTTTTTTAAAGTCCCCGCCTCTACATACATGCGTGCAAACATGCGTCGGGTGCGCATATGTGCAAAAAACGACGATTGCGCCCATTACGCCGCACATGTTACATATCGCCGCGAACGTCGCAGTGAGAGCAATAATTCTCGGCCCACCAATCACTGATGACACTAAACTGATGAGCAGTAAAAGCTTTTAAAGCGTCACCTATGGCCAATTTTGGGAATACAATTTTTTTGCGATTTCGCGGGCGCGCGCAATTTTAAAGCATGACATGTTTGGTGTCTATTTACCCGACGTGACCCCGACTTTTATATTTTACCAAACAATTGGGGTAATAATAAATGTTTCCTAACATAATGTCAAAAAAACGTTTTTTTTCAAAATGTTCAGTAATTTTTCCTATATATAGTAAAAAATAGAACCCGCCCCCTCCCAGTGGTGATTAAATACCACCAAAAGAAAGCTCTATCTGTCCCCAAAAAAGGGTATAAAATTCATTTCAGTACAGCGCTGCATGACGGAATAAATGTCAGTCAAAGTACCGCAGCGCTGAACACTGAACAATGGCCGGGACAGGAAGGGGGGGGGGGAGGAGGACAGGAAGGGGGTGTAACACCGCGGTCAGCAAGGGGTTAATAATGACCATTATCACTGTATATGCAGCCGGACTACGCCGAGGACTCAACTGGACATTAGAAAGAGACGCCGGATACTTTTCATGTAACTGTCATACTATCTAAAGGAAATACTCGGCACTGATACCTTAATGGTGTGAGGAAGGGTTGGGGGTTTCCCCTTCGGGGCCACAGCATGTAAACAAAGTATCGGGACGGCACAGTTCTAAAACGAGGCTCCCCGGCATCCCACGGGAATTCGCGAGACCGCTGCAATATATCAACAGACTTCTAATTCCGTTCAGCCGGTGTTGTGCTCTACACATCTCTGCCACACTGCACAGCCGGGAGGGTGGCTCAGATTTGCAGTTGCGTCACCTCTCTGTTCCATCCCTTCTCATTGGGCAACGAATGAACTTCATCACGCGGGGGGCAGCCGGTGACCCCCGGAAGCCGTAGAGCTCGAACAGCAAACAGAAATGTCGTCGCCACTTTGGGCTGTCTGCATTGCAAAACTGGCTCAACGGAATTAAAAAGCCCATTTCACATATTTGGGTTCCTATTGGGGGGATTCAGCTTCTTTTTTAAGGTCGGGACCTTCCGGCACCCTGGACGCAGCTTCCACTTACCTGGCGGCCTCCGGATCCCACACCACAATGTCGGCATCGGCACCGGGGATGATGCGACCTTTACGCGGGTACATGTTGTGGATCTTGGCTGCGTTGGAGCTGGTCACGGCTACGAATCTGTTCTCGTCCATCTTACCTCCCACCTGCCGCACAACAAACACATCGTCACGTGGAGGCGGGGCCGGCGGGGGGGGGGGAGACATAGAACGTCAATGAAATAAAAGCCGAGATGGAAGGAGATGGAAGATTCCAGACTGATCCTCAGCAGATTTATTGGACGGGAATCCTTCGAGTGCAATTCATGAATGAGTGTCACCTGTCCTGACATGAGGCTGAAGACTCTCCCAATGTGACATTGTTGGGGCTGGGAAGGTAGATGCCAAATACCAGTACTGCTCCATAGGAGGAAGAGTTGGGAGTCACATGATCCACTACACTGGGCACTTCTCTTCACTCCTGGTGGCCAACGGATTGGTGGGCATCAAAGCACGGTAGGTAGATGTAGGAGGGGGGCTGGGCAATAAAGGGAACCTATTGCTCGGTGCTACATGTGCAAAAGAGGGGGTGACTTTAATGTTTAACAACTGATTGGTCCTGGAGGGGGAGGGGAGTGTCATTCACAGTTTGAGTGAACTCAGCAAACTGGGAATGCATCAAGCCCCCGCTCATCACTATTGGTGGTCAATGGGAGTAAAAAGGATTCCCTTACATTAGTGGTCAATAGGAAGTACGCCCCCAATACAAGAGACACCGTTTCCATTACTGTGCTGACCCCATCAGACAGAAGATGAAGGAACCTCTAACAACGTCAGGAGGAGCCTCTAATAATCTCTGGAGGAACTTCTAATAACCTCTGGAGGAACCTCTAATAATCTCTGGAAGACCCTCTAATAATCTCAGGAGGAGCCTCTAATAATCTCAGGAGGAACCTCTAATAATCTCTGGAAGACCCTCTAATAATCTCAGGAGGAACCTCTAATAATCTCTGGAGGAACCTCTAATAATCTCAGGAGGAGCCTCTAATAATCTCAGGAGGAGCCTCTAATAATCTCAGGAGGAACCTCTAATAACCTCTGGAGGAACCTCTAATAATCTCAGGAGGAACCTCTAATAACCTCAGGAGGAACCTCTAATAATCTCAGGAGGAACCTCTAATAACCTCTGGAGGAACCTCTAATAATCTCAGGAGGAACCTCTAATAACCTCAGGAGGAACCTCTAATAATCGCAGGAGGAACCTCTAATAATCTCTGGAAGACCCTCTAATAACCTCTGGAGGAACCTCTAATAATCTCAGGAGGGACCTCTAATAATCTCTGGAAGACCCTCTAATAATCTCTGGAAGACCCTCTAATAATCTCTGGAGGAACCTCTAATAATCTCTGAAGGAACATCTAATAATCTCTGAAGGAACCTCTAACAACCTCAGGAGGTTGGGAATTGCTGCTCTATGCATCATTAAGAAACCTGATGGCCTACCCTTGTTCCTCCTCATTGTGGGTAATTTTGCCCCCCCAGCAGCCGGTGTTCTCTCTGCCCAGGTGCTCACTCAGACCTGTGGTGTGGGCGCAGAGCGGGCGGCACCGTTTCCTGCTGGGATTAAACATTTTCTTGCTGTAAGATTTCAGTTCATCTTCTGATGTGACTCGAGTACCGTAGAATACTCACCACGCCTTTCTCCCATATGACACTCATGCGGTCCTGAACTCCGCCCATTCCGTGTGGAATCTTGGTGAAGTCCTCTTTGCCCATGGCCTTCTGTTTGGTGGTGAACGTTCTGTGGTCTGAGGACACCACGTTCAGCGTGTCACTGGTGAGGAGAGACGGGCGGTTCATTATCATTGCAGTACATTTATAAAGAGATTGGCTTGAGGGACAATGACGGCGAGCTGATATTTCCTTTAAAAAGACTCAATCCACCCAGAAGAGACTTTTCACTTCAGAGTCTGGAGGACCTTCAATCAACTCCAGAGGTGAGATCCCCCTGCCATCTGTTCCTGCCCATGGAGAAGCATTGGGCGCCATGCTCCTGCCTACCTCGGAGTGGTTCCACTCTCATCATTCTTCATGACATAAAATAAATGAAGAATCTACCCGTGAGCATAGAAGCTCCTCATAATAAATCAATGATCAATCAATTGGGGGGACGACGACTGGGACCCACAATATGTTTTTTAGGATGTGGTGTAGATGAGTGACACACACTTGAAAAAGGTGAACCACCACATTTCATCGAGCAGATACGGTTGTCCATACCTTACTATACTCATAAGTATGGAGAACTCTGTACAAACATCCCATAAGGTTGTAAAGTAGTCACCGCTCCAAGCTCCTCCCCCCCACCAGGATGGACTACAATCTAAATACAAATCAGTAATTTAACCACTTGCCGTCCGCCCGTAGTAAAAAAACGGACGGACGGCACTGCAGCATTGGCGGGTTGCCGTCTCCAGACGGCATTTTTTTTCCAGACGGCATTTGAAGCAGATCTCTGCTTCATCAGCTTCTTTTGGGGTCCACAGGTGACATTAGGGGTCCTAGAGACCCCTAATGTCTCCATAAAGAGGACCTGACATGAGATTGTAGTCCTTCCCGGGGGGGCGGAGCTTGGAGTGGTGACTACTTTACAACACACACAGGGACCATGGGGAACAGACGTAGCCCCCCCTCCAGAAGGAAGGACAGTGTCAGAGATGATTGGAGGATCTCCAGCCGAGTGATACACAAATAAGAGACATTGTTGCTCAGAGATAGGGGACTTTGGATGGATTTTATAGATCTATCTCCGAGGTTTAGTGTCACTTCCATCAATACAAATGTCTCTTTGTCTACTTAGATGTCTAGTTGTTATGAACCTGATGAAGGGGACCGTGTGGCTCCCCTTCAGAAGTGGAGCGTAGACCAGCGCTCCACTTCATCAGGAGAGATGAAATATTTCAATTCTTGGAAACCGATCCCTTTGCACTCATGGTTGTTGACGAGGATTTTATTATACGTTGTGTTTGTGATTGATACGATGCTTTATCTGGAGGTCTCCTTGAGAATATCGATATCTCCTGCGCTCTCCTGATGAAGAGGACCGCTGGTCTGAGAAACGTGTAGAGAACTTACTGGCCGTGATTAGGCATTCGGGATGTAAGTTGCGTGATGGACTATAAACCTCTCTGCCCACCAACAGACGGCTCCACCGAAGGACTTCTCAGCCGCTGTGATAGTTGAGGATACAGAGCGGTGAATTTGTTACAAAGTTCTGGGTACGAAGTCACAAGAGATGTAAAATAGTTGCCACATTATCTATAAAGATATAAACAAAGATGTCCCCTGCGCCCCATGCAACAATTCGGAGCAGTGTTTGAGATATCGGTGGTGCTTGTAGCGATGTCCACGCATGGCGCCGTGCATATCCAGAAGTTACACATGTGACATTGTCCTCCTATAAATAGAACTTCTGGATTTATTGTCATCCTGCGAGCGCCGGGGATCATCAATGTTATTATCTGTAAAGTGACCTTCTTTTTACCCACGTAGATTAAGGGAAGCACTTACTTGGCCAGCAGGCTCATGAGGTAGTTGGGGGTGTTGGGGTCCAGTCGGAGTGGAGGGACGGTGACGAAGGCTGCAGCATGTGACCAATCCTGGTGGTAGTAGTGGATACCGTTCAGGGTGGAGTGGGCGGTGGTGATCTCCCCGTAGACAATTTTTCCTGGAGGTTAAAATGGATTTCTTCATTATTACCGGGCGAGGTGATTGTGGACACACATAGTATATCTGTATTATTAACCACCCGCCCCCGATCACTGAGCTCACGTCAGATCCCCATACACGGAACGCAGTTCCTTCCTACTGGTGACCTATAGGTGTCAGCCAATATAGTACGTGTGATCTGGTGTGATCCTCTATGAGCCCAGCAATCAGCCATGATCCTGCATGACACTGATGGTAAGGTCAGGTCCTGGTGACTAAATGTGATCTTGTATGATGCTGCATGTCTGTATGATGTTCTAGTTGGACTCTTTATGACACTGGTGATCAGATGTCACATGGTTACAGTTCTGATCTACATATGAGTCTGGTGATTGGGTATGATCTGGGTATGAGTCTGGTGATTGGGTGTGATCTGGGTATGAGTCTGGTGATTGGCTGTGATCTGGATAAGAGTCTGGTGATTGGCTGTGATCTGGGTATGAGTCTGGTGATTGTGTGTGATCTGGGTATGAGTCTGGTGATTGGGTGTGATCTGGGTATGAGTCTGGTGATTGGGTGTGATCTGGGTATGAGTCTGGTGATTGGGTGTGATCTGGGTATGAGTCTGGTGATTGGCTGTGCCTATAATAATGGGGTGTGATCCGGCAGAGGTCGGGATCTGGACAGCAGTGGTCGGGGAACATGCGCACACCGCTGAGGGTTCTCACCTTGCATTTTGGCAGAGGCAATGACATCACCTGCTGACATACTGGAAATGTTCACCAAGTAGACCGGGCAGAAGGTCTGAGAAGCAGAGACAGAGAGGCGGCTACAAGATTAGTACAGCCGGACACACGCTGGTTAGACTGAGAAGGACACAACACAACCCATCAGCCAACAAAGCACAGGCCACGTGAACCCATCCCCAAACCAGAGCCGTCCACTGAGTGTGCACAGAGACCGGTCCCACCAGACATGGCAGGGGTCTCCACTGAGTGTGCACAGAGACCGGGTCCCACCAGACATGGCAGGGTCTCCACTGAGTGTGCACAGAGACCGGTCCCACCAGACATGGCAGGGGTCTCCACTGAGTGTGCACAGAGACCGGTCCCACCAGACATGGCAGAGCCCTCCACTGAGTGTGCACAGAGACCGGTCCCACCAGACATGGCAGGGGTCTCCACTGAGTGTGCACAGAGACCGGTCCCACCAGACATGGCAGGGGAGACCGGTCCCACCAGGCATGGCAGGGGTCTCCACTGAGTGTGCACAGAGACCGGGTGCCACCAGACATGGCAGGGGTCTCCACTGAGTGTGCACAGAAACCGGGTGCCACCAGACATGGCAGGGGTCTCCACTGGCTGGTCCCTGGATTGAGGGATCAGACAGATCTACAGGAAACGTTTCTGTTCGGTCATCACAGGAATTAGCAATCGGGAGTGTGAGAACAAGAGGACAGCACAGGGCCGCACACAACATATCCGGGTCCGGGACACCAAAAGACTCCCTGCGGTCAACGGTGCAGAATGTTCTCCATGGTGGGTAGGGTGTTCTCCATGGTGTGTAGGGTGTTCTCCATGGTGTGCAGGGTGTTCTCCATGGTGTGTAGGGTGTTCTCTGTGGTGTGTAGGGTGTTCTCCGTGGTGGGTAGGGTGTTCTCCGTGGTGGGTAGGGTGTTCTCCGTGGTGGGTAGGGGGTTCTCCGTGGTGGGGAGGGTGTTCTCCGTGGTGGGTAGGGTGTTCTCCGTGGTGGGTAGGGTGTTCTCCATGGTGTGCAGGGTGTTCTCCATGGTGGGTAGGGTGTTCTCCATGGTGTGCAGGGTGTTCTCCATGGTGGGTAGGATGTTCTCCATGGTGTGTAGGGTGTTCTCCATGGTGCGTAGGGTGTTCTCCATGGTGTGTAGGGTGTTCTCCATGGTGTGCAGGGTGTTCTCCATGGTGGGTAGGATGTTCTCCATGGTGCGTAGAGTGTTCTACATGGTGTGCAGGGTGTTCTCCATGGTGGGTAGGATGTTCTCCATGGTGCGTAGAGTGTTCTACATGGTGGGTAGGGTGTTCTCCATGGTGTGCAGGGTGTTCTCCATGGTGGGTAGGGTGTTCTCCATGGTGGGTAGGATGTTCTCCATGGTGCGTAGAGTGTTCTACATGGTGGGTAGGGTGTTCTCCATGGTGGGTAGGATGTTCTCCGTGGTGGGTAGGGTGTTCTCCGTGGTGGGTAGGATGTTCTCCATGGTGTGTAGGGTGTTCTCCGTGGTGTGCAGGGTGTTCTCCATGGTGTGGTGTTCTCCATGGTGTGTAGGGTGTTCTCCGTGGTGGGTAGGGTGTTCTCCGTGGTGGGTAGGGTGTTCTCCATGGTGTGGTGTTCTCCATGGTGTGTAGGGTGTTCTCCGTGGTGGGTAGGGTGTTCTCCGTGGTGTGCAGGGTGTTCTCCGTGGTGTGCAGGGTGTTCTCCATGGTGTGCAGGGTGTTCTCCGTGGTGTGGTGTTCTCCGTGGTGGGTAGGGTGTTCTCCGCGGTGCGCAGTGTGTTCTCCGTGGTGTGAAGGGTGTTCTCCGTGGTGTGAAGGGTGTTCTCCGTGGTGTGGTGTTCCCCGTGGTGGGTAGGGTGTTCTCCGCGGTGCGCAGTGTGTTCTCCGTGGTGTGAAGGGTGTTCTCCATGGTGCGCAGGGTGTTCTCACATGACACCACGGAGAACACCCTGCGCACCGCGGAGAACACCCTGCGCACCGCGGAGAACACCCTGCGCACCACGGAGAAAACAGGACCTGTCAATCTGGAGAGTCTCCGCCTCCAGCAATGTATAAAGCCAGAAGAAATTGTTGCACTTTATAGTGATTGACCTCGAGAGTTACACGCTGCTCCTCCATAGATAAAGGGTGTTGTCACCCTCGGACAGGAAGCGTGTTACTGGCGGGATCACCAGGGGGTCATATTCACACATGTGCCCCATATATACGTTTCCTGACTCTGGTTTGGGAATGACTTCATAATGATCGGTAACATCCACAGACATCTGAATCAGTCTAAAGAAAGGACAACGATTCCATTCCAACAGACACGTGCGCCGTGCAGAACGGGCAGAGAAAAGGGAGAATCTGATTGGCTGAAGAGGATGAAACCGTTAATATGGCCGATTGTACCAAAGGAGCAATGTACAGGACACAGACCACCACACATCACAATGTCCTCAGGGGTTTAGGTAACGGGTCACCGCACACGGGACACAGAACATGAGTCACCACACAGCTCACAACACACGGGGCACAGAACATGAGTCACAGCACACAGGTCATAGCACAAAAAGTAACAGTACCCAGGTCACAGCACACGGGACACAGCACACAGTACACGGGACATAGCACAAAAAGTAACAGTACACAGGTCACAGCACACGGGACACAGCACACAGGTCAAAGCACAAAAAGTAACAGCACACGGGACACAGGTCAAAGCACGCAGGTCACAGAACACGGGACATAGCACACGGGTCACCGCACACAGGTCACAGAACATGGTTCATAGGACACAGGTCAAAGCATGCAGGTGACCGCACACAGGTCATATCACACAGGTCACAGCACACAGGTCATATCACACAGGTCATATCACACAGGTCACAGCACACAGCACACGGATCACAGCACACGGGTCACAGTTCTCACCCTATTAGCGATAGTGATCGCCCGGTGAACGGCTTCGGCTTCCAGCTGTATAAAGGGAAAAGGAAAAGCAATGTTATCCCCAACAACTGTTTCCCCCTCTGAGGGCTCATCAATAACACGGCTTCTGGACACATTCGGATGAAACGTCTTCAACATCACAGAACATTGCAGCCGCATGTGACCTCCACCATGGAGACCATGACCTCAGTGTGGGAATATTACAAAACAAACACGCGTGTGATAACACAAACATATTAAGGTGAAGCTCTGGCCAGACTATAAAACACACACCCCCGCCACACGGGAGGGTGACCCCAACATCTCCTACCGCATCTTTGCAACTTCCTGTGTCACCTGTCTACTAATGTCACAATCCATCAGCATCCAATTATCAGAGAGGTGACATCGCTGTCGAGATCCACCCAGCTGGCTCTGCCTATCCAGAGCCAACTGTACCTGCCCCGTCCGTTCCGCCACTCAGCGCCGGAAGATCGGACAGGGGAGGGGGGGAATCCCTGAGTGACAGTCACCACTCTCGGCAGGGATAGATCGAGAAGTGAGCGAGCGACGGTATGTGTTCCCTCACTTCCCGATCTACTGAGCCGACCTGTGACAGTCTCATTGTCACAGGTCGGCTAGAACTATGAGGTGAGTGAAAAGCACCCCCCCTCCCCCCTCATAGTTCTCCTTTAACCTCTTGCCGTCCGCCCGTAGTAGAAAAACGGACGGACGGCACTGCAGCATCTGCGGGTTGCCGTCTCCAGACGGCAATTTTTTTCTGCTCGCGCGCGCCCCCTAGCGGGCACGCACGGGCAGGAAAGACCCGATCAGTGCACACACCCGTTACCGGGTGAAGATGAACAAAACAGAGATCAATGTTTATAAACAATGTTACTTTGTATCTCTCTAT